CCAGGGGTCAGCAGGACAGTCAGAAAGTGAATGAGGAGTATGGTTTGTAACGTTCATGGCTTCAAAGGGTGTACCACCCACCCCTCCCCAGGAACCCCCAGGTTTCAAAACGTGAAGTTTCCAGTCCCGGGTTTCTAGGAGTGGTGTCACCATCACCTTGGTTCAGGAATATGGGGTTGCCATTCCATTGGATTGGGAGACTGGATGGCCCCCTAGACTTCGGGGAGTGGGACTGCCAATCCTGTGGATAAGAAGAACAAAGCTACTCAGGCTCGAAGGTCATTGCCAGAGTGGGCCTAGTGGGCAGGGCCATTGCCCCCCCAGACAGCATGGCCATTGCCCAGGTGCATCTTGGGGAACAGTAACATTATTTTGAAGCTTTGAGAGCTGATGAGATCGGGCCTGCTATGCTGCTGAGATAAGCCCTGTTGTTTGGTGCTCATCATCTCTGATTTCCTTCCATTTGTTTCTCTCTTTTGGAACTGAAATGACTACTTAGTGCTAGTTCCATTAGTGTACTTTGGAAGCAGATAATTTGTATTCTAGGGTTCACAGGTCCACACATGAAGCAGCACTGTACCCCAGGATAGACAAAGCACCAACAGATCCCTCACTAATACTTGGTTTAGAGAATTCAGAAGATGAGGATTTACACTGGATGCTGAATAGGTTAAGACTTCTGGAATTATGTCATAGGGAAATGTGTTTTATATGTGGGAAGGACATGAATTTGGGGAGACCAAGAATAGAATACCTACTTTGAATGTATTTGCGCCCCCGCACCTCCGCCCTATGCCTTCAGATGTGATCCGGTTTGGAAACTAGTTTTCTTTTGTTACGTTAATCAGCTGTGCCTAGTGTAGGATGGACTTTTACACCTAATCACTTCTGAGTCATAAAACACCAAGAATACATGCAGACAAATGGGAGGAAACAGACGTGTGAGGGGACCCTTCTAGAAGCAGAAGAATGCCGAAGCTCGCCATCAAACACAGAAGCTAGAAGAGAGGCTTACAGAAGGGAGTGATAGGCCATGATTCTGATTTAGATTTTTAGCATCCAGATTTGGGAAAAAGTGAAATTTTGTTCCTTAAAGCTACCCACTTGTGGTATTTCTGCAATGGCAGCACTAGGTTAACAGACAGAAATTTACTGTGTTCATTAGAATTCCGGCACAAGTATTCCGCAGTTCCTGTCACACCTGCCTGTCTTCAGGAGTATTAGGTTCAATTTCATGGAGAAACTTTTAGTCCCCTGCACAGTCCCCCTACATTTATACCTTTTCCCCAGGACTAAGAAATCAAATTGGTAAAACCATTTTCATCTTCCAGTTGAAGCAAAAAGGAAAGGTGATGACTGAAGAAAGAGGCAATTCTCCCAGGCATATGACCTGGTGAACACTAGGTTCCTTTTGAAATAATCTAAATCGTTCATGTCCACGTCTTTTTCATTATGAACCTCCTGAGAGCATGTCTTTACTCATGTACCCATTTCACCATTTCTTTTCTTCACCAATTTAAATTCCTTCTCAATTTGTTTCAGATTTGAAGAGTACACTTAAAGCCAAAGAACTAACTTCTAAGCCGCCTGACAGTAGGAAACAACACTCTAAACATAAGAAAACGGTAAGAATACAAGGATGGTTTGGGAATTTCCACAATACGAGAATGTTACAAATTAGAAGAGCCAAAATATAATGAGGAAAGTCGTTAAAAACACTAGTTGTCAGCCAGGAGAAAGTGGCATCTGGTGAGAACTGTGGAACTTGTAAATTTGGAGACAAATTGACTCCAGAAAGGTCCCATGAGTAAAAATTTCCATAAATGTCACTCAGACACTGAGTGTTAAAAACATAAATTGGCCTTCAATTGATCAGCGAATGTTCTGTGAATGTAATGCAGCCTTGTGGCAGAGCATACACTTTATTTACCTTCTAAGAACGTACGGTGCACAGAAACCACATGTGAACACTGGCTGCAGTAAAACGTAGGCATTACATTACTATTAGATGTAGCAGAATCCCTAGTGAGCCAATTCCTGTGATTGCACTGAATGTTGCACATATTAGAAATTTTAGTTATCACTCATCTCTTCATCAACAGGAGAGACGTCATCTTGGAGTGAAGCTCAATGAATGTAATCAGTGTTTTAAAGTCTTCAGCACAAAGTCAAACCTTACTCAGCACAAGAGAATCCACACTGGAGAAAAGCCCTATGACTGTAACCAATGTGGGAAATCCTTCAGCAGTAGCTCTTACCTTACCGTTCATAAAAGGATGCATAATGGGGAGAAGCCCTATGAATGCAATGACTGTGGGAGAGCCTTCAGTAATTCTTCATCTTTTAAATTGCATATGCGCATACATACTAGTGAAAAACCCTATGAATGTAATCAGTGTTTTCGTGTCTTCCGCACTAGATGTAGCCTCAAAATGCACAAGAGAGTTCATACTGGAGAGAATCTCTATGAATGTAATCAGTGTGGAAAGGCCTTCAGCACGCGCTCCTCCCTTATTGTGCACAACAGAATTCATACAGGTGAGAAACCTTATAAATGCCCCGACTGTGAGAAAACCTTCAGAGAGAGCTCACATCTGACACAGCATGTGAGAACTCATACTGGGGAAAACCATATGTATGTAATCAGTGTGGGAAAGCCTTCAGCTGTAAGTTTCCTCTTACTGTACACAAGAGAATGCATAATGGAGAGAAACCCTGTGAATGTAATGACTGTGGGAAAGCCTGTGGTAATCACTTATCTGTTAAGAAGCGCATGAGAACACACACATGAGACAAACCCTCAGAAAGTAATCGATGTGGGAAAGGCTTCAGTAGTAACTATCATGTTTCTGTGCATAAGAGGATACATAATGCATAGATAGGAATACAATGACTATAATAAGGCATTCGTTGATCTTCTCTGGATGACGTAAAAGAACAGACAGAAGATGTATCATGTATTGTTGCATTAAAAATAGCCCTCAAAGCTCAGTGGCTAAAAATAGCAGACATTTGTTATTTTACATGGTCTGTGGGTCATGCATTCAACCACAGGTTGCCTGTGTGTGTCAGATTTCCTGATGAGGTTGGAGTCAGGATGTTAGCCAGGCCTCCAGTTGTCTGTAATCTAGGACTAAAGGGTTCACATGTCTACCCTAGTAGAGCTTGGTGGTGCTGGAGGACCTACAGTTCCTTGCCGTACAGGCCACTCCATAGTCATTTATGTTGTTTAACCCCAAATGAATAAAGTGACACAGTTACTGTTTAGTGAATTGTAGAGCCCAGAGCCTAGAGAGTCCATGCTGTTAACTGTTGTTAAGTGCCATTCGAGTTGATCCTGACACATAGCGATCCTGTATAGGATTTTCGAAGAGCGGCTGGTGAATTTGAACCACCAACCTTGTGGTCCTACCTTTATCCTACAGCGCCATCTATTTATTAATTCCAGTTGTCAAGCACTCTTTGAGACACTTTATCTATAGCACTGAATGAAGCTAAAGTTTTGTCATTGAAGTATTTATATCTTAATGGAAGGGGGTAGATTATAGAAAAATCAAGAAAATATGTAATTGTGTTGTTATATAAAAAAAATAAAATTTTGTATCTTGGTTTCCTGGGGCTGATGTACCAAAGTGCCTCAAGGTTGAATGGCTTTAAAGCACCGAAAGGTATTCCCTTACAGTTCAGGATGTTAGGAGTTTGAATTCAAGGTGCACCAGGATCATTCTCTCCCCCAAAGCGCTACAGGAAGATCCTTTCTTGTCGCTCAGGACTTCTGGGAGCCCTGAATGACTTACCAGGAAGAAGAGCTATCTATGTTCCCCCTGTGGGTTTCTGTGACTGTATCTCATAAGGACAGATTTTAGATTGGATTAGAAGCCACCAAAGTTCTGTGATAAGATCTTCAAAGACCCTATTTCCAAATAAGGTATGGTAGCAGGTTCTAGGAGCTGTGACTTCAACCTATCTTTTTGGGGGGATACCTTCAATCCATAATGCATTTTCGGAGAGATAAAGTGGATTGAAGACTTGCTGGTGTACACAGAAGAGGAAGAGAACGCTTGTCCATTAAGGGGCATTTGTACAGAGGAAGGAAGGAATGTGTACTGAGACCTAAACAAGCTGGGACAGTCAGTCATGTGCACGTGTGTGACCAGAGCATTGTCTGACTGACATCTTTGTGCTTTGGGTTTCCCTTCTCCCGTTTTTTCAATCGTGAGCCTCTTCTTGTGACGCTGGTGGAGGTAGCTTGGGGCTGACCATGTTTTCTGTGGTAGGACTTAGTCATCTTTGAAGATGTGGCTATAGAAGTCACCCAGGCCAAGTGAGTATGGCCGGACCCATTTCAGAGAAAACGACACAAAAATGTGAAGCTAGAGAACAACAGGAAGTGGCAACACTTACTAAGGTCGACATCATGACTGCATTTATTCAGTCCTTTAGACACAGCCTTTCTAAAGCAATTGCTGTGTTCTGGTGTCTGTGCTTGGGACTGAGAAAGGACTGGTAAGCGAAACCAGACATGACTGCTACCTTCATGGACTTTGCTGTCAGTTCCATTCTCTATGGACTAAAGATCTATGCCTTGTGTGGGCTTAGATTTCCATGGTGAAATGCTATGGGAATTCTGAAGTGACTATTAGAACTTGGGCATGAGTTCCTGAAACGAATTATTCCTGATCACCATGGATATTGAGGGAGGCTGCTTGCATTTTTGTTCCTTATAAGGACATTTACTTTGTACATGAGAGTGGCGCTATGGGTTGATGCCCTGGGCTGCAAAGTCAGTTTGAAGTGCAAGGCTGGTGGTTCAACTCACCAGCTGCTCCTTGGAAACCCTATACAGGATCGCTGTGGGTCTGAACTGACTCAGTGGCACTTAACAACCACAACAACAATGTCACATTTGCCCGCCTTCGTAAATGTTGGCTTCAGTTTCATAGAGGTGCTTGTTGTCCCCTGCACAGTGCCCACATCATGTCTCTTTTTTCCAGGGGTAGGGAATCAAGTTGGTAAACCCAGTTTGAAAGCCCAGTTGGAGCAGGAAGACAAGGTGATGACAGAAAAGAGGAGGATTCTCCCAGGTTCCTGTCTAGGTGAGGAAGATCTTTGACCAGTGAAAGTATTCTGTTAGTAAAATGTCAGTCAGGGAACTTTGTAAATTGCACTTTTTCTGAAAAGGTTGGGAACATTTCTTCTTTAACTTCCCATTCATTATTTCATGTTGTAGTCTCAAGAGGGGAAAGAAAAGACCCGTCTGTTTTCCTTCAATTTAATAATCTCATGTGAGATCTTTGCCCAATTCCCAGTTGGCATTCCTGATATTTCCACTCTGTCAGCATAAACTTCAATCAATCAATAAAAAAGAAATTTATTTAAAAATTTATTTTTTAATAAATATCTAAATCTTTCATTGTTACATCCCTTTCATTGAAACTTCCTCATAACTGTAATTTTTTGAGAGCTTGTCTTTATTCATGTGTTCGTTTTATCACGTCTTTCTCCATAAAGTTAATTCTTTTTCAATTTGTTTCAGATTTGGAGACTGTACCGAAAGACAAAGAGCTAATTTCTAAGCAGCCTATGTTTAAAAAAGACCAATCTGAACGAGTGAAAACGGTAAGATGACTTACAAAGATGTGTTATGGTTTTACAAAATAGAAAACGCTTTTAAGAACCATAAAATGATCAGCTGTCATTAAAGGCAGGTATCGTTTGATGACAAAGAGATGTCTGGAGGAGAGATACTATGAAACTTGTAGATTTAATACAATTTCCAAACTTGTATCTCACTCAGAGTAAAAATGCCCATAAATGGACTCAGATATTGAGTGTCTGAATCATAAACTGACCTTGCATTTGTCAGAGGATACTCTTGATACAATAAAGAGTTGTGGCAACGCATCCATCATTTTTAACTACTAAGAACTTAAATTGGACCCACACCATAGATGAGCATTGAATGTAGTAAAGAAATCAACATAACAACAAGGTTCTATGTAACAATTCCTGGGGGAAAGAATCCCTGCGACAGCATTGAATATTTCAGTATTAGATATTTTAGTCATCGCTTTTCTCTTCATCAACAGGAGAGAAATCATCTTGGAGTGAAGCTCAATGAATGTACTCAGTGTTTTAAAGTCTTCAGCACAAAGTCCAACCTTACTCAGCACAAGAGAATCCACACTGGAGAAAAGCCCTATGACTGTAGCCAATGTGGGAAATTCTTCAGCAGTAGCTCTTACCTTACCGTTCACAAGAGGATACATAATGGGGAGAAGCCCTATGAATGCAATGACTGTGGGAAAGCCTTCAGTAACCCATCATCCCTTAGATTGCACGTAAGAATTCACACAGGTGAAAAACCCTACGAATGCAATCAGTGTTTTCATGTTTTCCGTACTAGATGTAGCCTCAAAACACACAGGAGAGTTCATACTGGGGAGAATCATTATCAGTGTAAACAGTGTGGAAAGGCCTTCAGCACGCGCTCCTCCCTTACTGTGCACAATAGAATCCATACAGGCGAGAAGCCTTATGAATGCCACGACTGTGGAAAAACCTTCAGGAAGCGCTCACATCTAACACAGCATATAAGAACTCATACTGGAGAAAAGCCGTATGAATGTAATCAGTGTGGGAAATCCTTCAGCAGTAGCTTTTCTCTTACTGTACACAAGAGGATACATAATGGAGAGAAACCCTATGAATGCAATGACTGTGGGAAAGCATTTAATAACCTCTCTTCTGTTAAGAAACACACGAGAACTCACACAGGAGAAAAACCATATGGATGTAACCAATGTGGAAAAGCCTTTAGTAGTAACTCCTACCTTTCTGTGCATAAGAGGATACATGATCGGTAGATATGAATGCGGTAACTGTGGGAAAGTATTGACTGACCACTTTTTGCAAACTTGAGGAATTCACACCGGATATATTGGTTATCTGTTGTTAGGTAACTTCTCCCAAACATTAGCATCTTAAAACAAACATTCTCTCACAGTTTCTGAAGTTCATGTATTCAAGAATGGCTTATCTGTGTGCTTCTGACTTGGAATCTTTCATGAGATTGCAGTGCTGGCCAGAGTTGCAATAATCTATAGACTTTAGGGCTGATAGAACTACTTCCAAGGTGGCTCATCCACATAACTGCCGTGGCAGTGCCAACTGTTAGCAGGAAAACTAGTTCCTCATCACCTAGACCTCTCTACAGGACTGAATGTCTTCATGATAGGGCACCAGGTCCTTGGAAACCCTATACAGGGTTGCTATGGTTTGGAACCGGCTCAACAGCGTTTAACAACAATTCTACTGAAGTGGGTGCTTTAAAAGAGAGCTGTGTAAGTCTCTCTGTGTGTATGGTATGAATGTGACAAAACACGTGGCCATTTCAACATTCTTTACTCAAAAAATTCAGTGGTATTGTAGTCATACTGTGAAACTATTAACATTATCTGTTTCTAGATTTTTCCATCAATCTTAACAGATCCTCAGTGTCCCTTAACAGCATGCTCTTTTCTCCCTCTCTCCTTCCTTCCCCAGTAATCACTAATAAATCAGATGTCTGTATACTTACATAGCCCACATAAGTAGAATTAAAATATTTGCCCTTTTGTGACTGACTTATTTCACTCAGCATGATGTTTTCAAGGTCCATTGATCTTGTAACATGTATCAGAACTTCATGTTTCTTTGTTGCCATTGTTGTTGTTAAGTGCCATCGAGTCAGTTCCAACTCATAGCAACCATGTATAGAGTTTCTGAAGAGCACACTGAGTGAGTCAAACTGATCTTGTGGTCCAGTGCTTATCCTACACCGCCATACCAGGACTGCCATTTTTCTTTAGGGCTTCAAAAATTTTGTGGAAAAACTGGAATTGCAAGATAATAAAATTTTTCCAAGAACTTTTTGGAACCCTTCCTGTTACAGACCACATTTTCATCTGTTCATCTGCTGATAGCTCATTTAGACGTCTCCACGTCTGACTGCTATGAAAAGTGCTACAGTGAACACTGGTGTACAAGTTCCTGCTTGTGTTCATTATTGCTTTCAGTTTGGGGGCTCATATATATAGAAGGTGAATTGCTAGACTGTATGAACTGTGGTACAGCACTGTAGGATAATCACTAGACTACCAACTGAAAAGCCAGCAGTTCAAACCCACCAGCTACTCTCGGAAGCCCTGCACAAGGTTGCTATGAGTTGGAACTGACTAGCTGGCACACAGTAACAACATAGTAATACTATGTTTAACTCTTTGAGGGACCACCATTTCCCACAGGACCTGGATCATTTATAATCCTACCAGCAATGCTTAGGATTTCTATTTTTTCACATTCTTGCCAACATCTATTTTCTGTGGTTTTAATGACAGCCATTTTCATGAGCAAGAAGTGCCGTGTCACCGTGGTTTTGATTTACACTTCCTTAACGACTAGCCATGTTGAGGGTCTTTCCATGTGCTTACTGTAGTTCTTTAGTCAAATGTCTATTCAAGTCCTTTGGTTAAATGCCCATTTTTGACTGTGTTGTCTTTATTGTTCTTTATATTGACTTCTTTATCTAGATATTAAACCCCTAGATGGTTCCAAAGTTATGTGGTTCCAAAAATGTTCTTCCAATCTTGGACTTGTCTTCAGTTTGTTCATGACATCCTTTGATGCTGAAAAGTTTTTAATTTTGATATGGTCCTGTTTACTTTGCTTATTGTCTCATGCTTTTAGTGTGATACCCATGAGTCTACTGTTGAAAACTAGATTCCAAAATTATCTGCTGTTCTGAGAGTTTATGGTTTTAGTTGTTTAATACATTTTGAGTTCACTTTTTGTATAATATGAGGTATGTGCCCAGCATCAAAAGAAGATGGAAGGAATACAGTCACAGTACCAAAAAGAATTGGTTGATGTTCAATGATGATCGAGAACTGATGGTATGAAAGGAAGACGTTCAAGCTACACTGGAGCATGGGCATAAAACAAAAATGGAATAGAAGCAAATACTGTTGGAATGATGATGTGTGGAGGGGATTGTAATCATTGCAATGAAATAACAATAGGATGAGTGTAAAACCTATGTTCTCCCATGTAAACTATCACTCAATTCACAATGTTGTTGTTGTCAGGTGCCATCGAGTTGGAACCGACTCATAGTGACCCCATGCACAGCAGAACGAAACAACGTTCGATCCTGGGCCAACCTCACTACTGCCACCACACTTGACACCATCAATGATGTCACCTGGCTGATCCATCTCGTTGGGGGTCTTCCTCTTTTTCTCTGACCCTCCACCTTATCCAGCATGACATCCTTCTCCA